CTGTCTCCGGTGGTCCTAGCTACATCTAGGTTCATGACTGCCTATTTCTCATCCCAGAGGTAGAGGAAAACAGATATTCCCATGCAATAGGAATATCATTGAATGGTAATCCCTTAAGTATTTACTGGTTCATAAAGAGTTACAGCAGAACGTATTGCAAGCAACAACTTTCTCTAGGTGGGGGAGTAGCAGTCAAAACATTGAAAAGAGAGTAGCTGAATATACATCATGAAAACTAGATACAGCTGTACTGGAAAAAGGTAAACAAACTTGTCTTGCTTTCATTCCATCCCATTGAGAAAACGAACACCGGTTTCTTCCTACGAATCTGTCACCATAGAACCGAAATATATTGAGCTACAAAATGCTTGTGAATTAGGTCATCTTATCAAAACTAATAAATTACAGCACATGCTCCTTGACCACCTGCTTTACACAGCTCATTTCTATAAATCAGATCAAATTTCAAGCATAAGTGTATATGAAGAAAATGTTCCTTTTTTAGTCTGCAGAAATTGCAGCATTTTCCTAGAGTCCAGCTTAACTGTGAAGGAATTGAAATGCAGACTTAGGCTTCACCAGTTTTGTGACTGCGGTAGTCAAGAGGGGTGAGATAAGATGTGGTAGACACACTGCTAATCACAAATGCAAGGTCCCTAACACATCGTTCTCCTCTCTTATTCTACCTATTTATGTTTATGTAAGTCTTGGAGCAAATATAACCAGAATGTATCTTTTTTTTCAGTGCTTAGGGTTACAAAACAAGCTTGTTGTGCCACGACAGCACTTCCAAGTTAATGAAAGAAAATACAATGTAAACAATATCAAGGCAATTAATAACAGCACAATTTTTAGTTAAAGAGACAGGCGTAACGTTGTCACTACAACCCTGAGAAAAATGCAGGGAGAATGTACTATGGTAGAGAAAGGGATTATTCCCATGGTAAGGAAAATTACACTGGGTGTGAGCGTCAGATCAGGAAGTGTCCACCAAGTCAGATAGTGCCCCATCGCGGGTTAAGCAGTCGGCAGTGGGTGAGGACAGGCACTGCAGGAGCCAGGGGGCAGCCAGCTACCCGGGCACAGAAATCTTGGCAAATCTTATCGAATCTGGCTTTGAAGCTCCGCACCCAATCCTGGCTCCCTGGGTCTGATTGCTGTAGTGAGGGCTTTGTTGCAGCGGCCATCTTTGCTCAGCCACGTTGTCTTACGAGTAGCGGAAAACAGGCTATCCGCTTGTGGTGTGGTAAGTGTGTCCAGTGGGCACCGGGATAATCCCCACCCGTCCAAATGGGAGGACTTAAAGAGAAACCCTTAAATTATGGTTGAATGAACACAGTGCATATTCTAGGTTTAGTTTCAGAACTTGGACAACTGCTGCCTCTGTCTTTAAAAGGTTAATGAAACAGACACCAGTCCCTTTTCTCAAGCAAAACATTTACATTCTGCCTAAACGACACCTCACGTGGCTGTCAGAGACACAGCTACTAGACGTATATCTTCACTGTAGATCTTTAATATAGGTACATAAAAATATTTATTTGTAATCAGAGTGTTCCCCTAGCAAAATAAAAAAAAATACAACAGGCGGAGCTTAGAAGCAAACCGAAACAGACACACAATAGATGGGCTCCACACTCACGACCGTTAAAACACAGATTCCCGCCAAGATACTGAGCCGCAAACATAGCCCACAGACCCACCAGGGATATGGGACGGATAACAAAAAAACTGGACAAGCCCAAAACAGGGCATTATAATGCACCAGTGGGATGTTTTCCCCGTTAACACTACCAGCCACAAAAAAAGTTACCAAAGAGACACTGAGATCCATGCTGTGGGACTTGCAACGAGTACTCCAAACTGACGTGGCCCAGCTCCACAAGGACTTGACGGGCCTGGTGGGCCACATCGAAGCCTCCTCAGACAAGCAGGCCCAAACAATAGCGGACCTTCAAAGCGAGGTGCAGGTGCTTAAGAAACACCAAGAGACCACAGACCAATAATTTGCAGCTCTTGAATATCTCAGACGCTGTAATAACAAACATATGAGGCAACATACCGGCGGAGGCTCATCGGAGCCCTGCTGAAGCCGAAACATTCCCCAAACCACAGAGAGCCCCAACTACAGCCTCAAGTGATCTAGTGGTGAGGTTCCGTTCTGGTGCAGACAAAGCAGCAATCCTTGCGGCCCTTAAGGGGAAGGCACCCTTCAGCTTTGAAAATGCAAATCTTACCTTTTACGCGGACTTGACAGAGGACACCCTGCAATGGCGACTGTCCCTCCAATCGTTCACGGTGCTCCTGAGGCAAAACGACATAACCTACCGATGGCGCTCACCAAGGTGGCTGTGATGCTGTTGCCAACACTCTGCTTACCAGAGAACTCCCTTGTTCCTGCAGGACAGCCTGGAAAAAACACTGCCACGCACCGATGGGACCCAGCGAGGATTACACCGTTCGTGCCTCAAAGACAACTGCCAGAGGATGCCGCGGTAGCCCCAACTTAAACCGCAGGACTCAGTCCACACTGCCACTCCTACTGTCCTCAAGACATACCCCAGTTGCGGTTCGAAGTTAGTTAAGATTTTTTTTTTTTTAGACCCAGACTTTACACTTTGTTTTTCGCCCATGTAGCATCCCAGTCACACTTCGGTATCCACTGACCCACATTCCGGGACTTTTGGCTCAACTATGACGGCCTCAGCAACAGAACCTACCTCTGTGGTCTACCACTGTGTGGGTCCTACCACTCCCCTCACCCAAACGTTTTTAGTCACACTACACCTCAACCTCCGAGACACTCTGCCTAGCAACAGTGGCCTCAATAGCTGTACACACCTATGCGGTTCAAAGCTATGAGGCCATTTCGCCTTAGTCTGCACAATCGCACCTAGGCCTACATTGCATCAAGTTGAGAGACTCTCGGCCCACATCTAACGGTCTCAGTCCCTGTCCTAACCTAAGTGGTTCGAAGTGCTAGCTGTTTTTATTAAGGCTTTACTTGCCCAGCCACACCTCGGCACTCGTTGCCTCATATTCCAAGACTCTCTACCCACTTACGAAGGCCAGCATTCCTGGGCTTACTGGTGTGGTTCAAAGTTATATATGCTTTTGTTATATTATTTTATGTGTATTTCATGGTGACAACCCCCTACTGCTTACCACAACAGACGAGACTACGCAGCCACCCCAACCTTGCCCGTAGACATGCCAGGTCCCCCTCCTCCCATTCGCCCAAGACTAGACCTGAAACATCCATAGACATTAGGAGATCCTGGGGGTGCACAAATACAGTTCGACACAGCACCGGGGCAAGCAAGGCTACCTATGCGGCCTGAACACTGGCATAGGACATATCACTACTAAGACACACACACAACTCTCACAAGTGACACCTAAACCAGGACCATCCCCTTAACAGTCCTCCCACACTTCAGCCTAAGGGTTGCAGATAACCCACAGGTACCGAATGTACACGACAGACTACCTAGAAACAAGAACCGATTATGACTACCCGACATAGACCATAAGGCATTTATAAACAAACAGAAAAAAACCTGCTCCCATGCACAGCACCCACGCAACAGACCGTATAGTCATGCGTATGCTAAGATGTTTGTATTAAATAAGTTGCCTGTACCGTTCTTACTCCTGCTAACCCACTCACGCTGGTGAGCCAGGTCAAAAATGTATTAATAAAAAAAAAAAAAAATATATATATATATATATATATATATATATATATATATATACAACAAAAGAAATAAAATTAAAATAAAACTGTATTACAGGACTTCGCCATGAGATGGCACCATTGTTTTGCCAAAGAAAGTATACAATGAAAACAATATTAGAAATACCGGTATTCTAATTTTAAAACTGGTACATGAAGAACACTGCATTCATAAAGCAGTGTGATAGTCTTATATTTGCATGTCTGATTACATGCTGCAAATGCAGCCAAGTACCTAAATTAAAGGTGGAAGTGCATGTGAAGCTTTTATAAAGGACATTATTAAAATAAGAAGTTCAAAATTCTTAGTGACTATCTGTAGCAACTAGTGAACTTTTGTCTTTAATATTTTGTTTATTAAAAAAAGACAGTGATATATATATATATTACTATCAAATGTATAATTAAGTGTTTAATTTAAAATTATTTGTCAATAAACCAACAGGTTTTTCCTACTACAAATACACACATATTATATAGAGATTGTAAGCTCATCAAAGCGGGACCTTATTTAACTCTTGTTTCTGGTTTTGTATGTCTAATATTTCCATTCTATAATTGTGAAGTGCTGAGGAAATATGTAGAAGTTATGTATATGCACATGGGATTGTAAGCTAATTTGAGCCGTGCCCACTTCACCTACTGTTCCAGTACGTCATTATTTACAAGTTGGCACTACACACACACACACATTCAAATTAGGTCCATTGAGTGCTCTCCTTCTAGAGTGTGTGTGTGTGTGTGTGCATGCGTGCGTATGTGTGTGTAAATAGTAAATGACAGACACATTTAAATTTAAATAGAGACTAACACAAATATTTCATTTAAAATATTACATTTATAGAATAAAGGTTTACATACACACATCAGGTGAGTTAAGGAAGTCTTGTGTGTACATTTAGCTGCCTACTGCATTCCTGATGGTGTCATTACAAAACAAAAAACAAAAAAGGGCTTATTGCAACCCTTTTGCACTCTGTTTTAAGAAACAGAAAAATTGCAAAAAAAAAATGTTTTAATGTTGTTAGCAGATAGGGTTAATGTTTGGATAGCAGTTTCAATCTACAGTTCAAGCTAAGTAAATGCACTTTGAAACCAGTAAAATTATTTACTAAACTGGCCAGATATGAATATTTATATGAGAAAATATTAAATAGGGCTCATGCATAGTGGCTATTCTTAAAAGGGCCAGGCATGTTTCTTCCCATGCTGAAATTACATCATACTTTATACAAAGACTGTTGGCTTTAAGTCAGCCAACCTAATTACATGCTCACAACTTAAAGTGTGTGTGTGTGTGTGTATGTGTGTATGTATATATGTATATATATATATATATATATATATATATATACATACATACACACACACACACTAAGTTGTGAGCATGTAATTAGGTGGGTTGACATATATAGTTTTTTTTATATTTATTAAAGGCTGTGGAATCCGTAATTGAAATGGATTATTGATATATATTAAACATGAATACACCATCCATAATCAAACTGCTTGAGGAAGATCTAAATAAATCATACTAGTGTAATAGTGTTGGGCACATACCCGAAAACATTTATACAAAACTGTACAAAAAAGGTCAATTTATAGTATAAATGGATTATGCGTTATGGAATTGCTGCACAGTAAAAACAGCAAATATTTATGTCACATTTCCCAAGTTGCCATTTCCTTCCCATTCTCTCCATAATTTTTAATAAAGGATCAACTGTTTTAGAATTATTAGTCTGAGTTCAGGAGAAAGTTTTCGCTGTATAGGAAAATATTTAGATTCAGCAGGGTTTCAGAGTATCACTGCAGTCACAATCCTTGAATATTACAGGCAAAGATATTCAAGTAGCGTGTCTCTCGTGCCATCATATATAAACAGAGGAATGCTGTACTGGGGAGTACTATGTCTGCTGATCACAACGCATACCAACATATTGGCATGCTTTTGAAACAATTTATTAAAAAAAAAAGAAAAAGCAGTTACGGTACTAAAACACATTGTACATAAAATAATAGCCACTGCAGTTGTGGATTATTATTATTTTATTTTAAGTATATTTTGGTTCCTCAACTGGCACAAGGAACCTGTATGGATACATGAATATAACAAGGTTTGCAATTCAGCTGGTTATTGTTCCATGCTTAATATGCGACTAGTATAACCTGCGTTATTGGACAATTACTGCATTTTACAGTGTGCTGCTCTTGGGATCCAAACTGCACCAGTACAATATTCTTTTCATAATGAAGTTTTTAAATCATTTTTAATTACCTTTCAAAAGCCACATTCTAGTGCTGCACTTGACAAGATGCAAAATATTTCTTTTCAACAAACGTTGCACTATGCAGGGAATTAAATTTATGCAGCACGGCTGGTAACCTGCATTAATGTACTTATTGAAAATACACAAAGGAACTTTTTAGATGGTTTATGTCCAAGAAAAAAAAAAAGAAAAAAAAAAGAGCTCCTCATATTTATTCATTTAAACCGCTATATGAAAGATATTAAAACTAAAACGTTAATGGCATCTTATTCTGAGCTCTGTGCTAAGACCCCAGTCAGATGAAGGCAGCACTAGATGAACTGAATATTCTTCCAGGGATCGTGGGACCTTTTCAAGGTTTTGGTTTAGAGAAAAAGAAAAAAGTTAGCAATAGCAATAGAAAGACAGATTTTTTTATCATTTATATAGTGCCTACAACTGACAATCACAAATCACAAGACACAAAAGGTGAAGACAGCCCTGCTCAAATGCACTTACAATGTAGAAGAAAGGCAGATAGGCACAGATATATATATATGTGTGTGTGTGTGTGTGTATATATATATATATATACACACTTTGTATATATCACTTACACTAGTTAATATCCTTTGTGCCAGCCCTATTACAAAGACTCAACATGGTTTTCAAGGCACTACAAACAAGTAGAACATTCAGGATTATTTTCCTTTTAAAGGCCAGTGTAACCTGAATTTAATAATAAATTATTTTAGACATATTTTTTCTTTTCAGGTTTGCATAAATAATAGCTCCTATTCTATGTAAATCACTTTGCAAGCTATATATAATATACATTGAGTCTGAAGCCCTTCTTCCCCAGGCTTGTGTGACTAAAGGCAGAAGGAGGAGGAGGATAATCTACTAAGCAAGAAGAGTGTGGGCTTTGTACTTTGAAGAGCACCTTTAAAGTGAATTCTTCATGATGCAGCACAATTATTTCTCAGAGCAGCAAAGAGTGGGAGGAAGTGTTTGATTTAACAGTGCAGGTATGCGACTACCCAGTAGGGCTGCGTTTTGTTACGGCTTTTTAAAAAATACTTACCTTTTGGCTACTACTTTGACAAGACGTGATATAAAGAAAAAATACATACATACATACACACACATACAGACATATGGCTGTAAACATAGATATACACACACAACATGTTAAATTGAATGGACGTTGATATAAAAAAAACATTAAATAAATAAAATTAAAAAAAATGCATCTTGAAAAATTAGTTAAAAAGGGTGTGATAATTAATCTTTCCTTCCTCCTTCACCACTCAACTATTCAGACATGTATGTCCGTTTTCACGCCTATCTACCCAAGAATTTCCTTTACATTAATCCTTCCTTGTACCTTCATCCGTCCTAATCGACATGTATATACTTTTTCCAAACCCCCTTTTAAAAAAAAAAAATGTTTAAACCCCCTTCCTCCATTATCTAGCCACCATCAACCACTGCAATATACCTATTCCCGCCAATCCCCACCCCCAAATACTCAGCATAACGATGTATCACCCACAAGGCTTTTACTTCAAGGTTTTGCTTATACCAACTCCTCCATCTCCCTTGCAAGATCCACCTTTTCCTAATCCCCCACTGCAGGTCACTACTCCAGGCAGGTTGGGTATCTACTTTATGTGCTAAAATTTCAACTATTTGCCAAACTGGTTAGACACATTGATAAGAGATTTGCTTTACAACTGACCGACTGTGCATACCCTATCCCTCATCCAATGATGTTTTACATGTTTTAATTTCTATTTTTCTCTTTATCTTTGTTCTGTAAACAGTTGTATTAGTGCAATTGTTTATTCGCCTCTATGAAAAAACTGTAAATGAAAATAAAGAATTATTAGAAATTAATAAAGAGAAAATTAAGTTTGCAAAAATTTAAATCATTAGAATAGTTATATATCTATAAATCTATATCTAACCATGATTTTCAGGTTTGCAAAACGTGTGTGTGTACATACAATTATTAAAACATGAATAACATTTTAGCAAATGTTACGGTGACAGTTGGTAAAGGAATCTGCTATTAATATTTTCAGTTATTGTTTTGTGCCCCTAATGGAAACAGCAACATATTGCATATTTACATACAGTTGTATAGGAAATATGGGGCACCCCATCTAAAACAAAATGGTATATTGATTTTCTAAATCAGAACAAGTTAACTGTGCTTCTTCTATTGGGGGAAAAAAAAAACACATTTCTGTTGATTTTAAATGCACAGTTGTTACTATTTATTTGCTAAATTTAGCTGACTGAAAAAATAAAATAGTGCACTAGTTTGGGCACCTTATCAGTCAATACTTAACACTGCCTTGGCAGGAAATCACAACCTCCAAACACTTCTTAAAGCCACATAACAGTCTTTCCATCAGAGCTCTAGCCTGGGCCAACTGGAGGCTGCTGCAGGCGAAACTTTTATTGTTACGTTAAAAACAATTAGCCCTGGAGCTACTAGTGAAAGAAAGGTGTAAGTAACAGCAGAAACCAGTCACTTCACGCAATGTAAAGAGCTGTAGGCTGCTGGGATGTATGACGACATCATACAATGGCGGTTGACAATCTGTGCAAACAGACTGACTTCATCAGCAGAGCCAGTATTGGCTCAGTGAGGCACATGTGTAGCTGCTTGTAAGGAAGAGCTTATATAAGAGTGTACAGTATATGTCAGTAAGTGTGTCTGTATGCTATGGTCAGGGTCTACATATCACTGAGCATCAGAGAGACAGTCAAAAATGACATTGATTCCTTAAATAGATCCTTTGGGATATCTTATAAATAAATATATAAAATACAAATTTACAACAGGTATTTTATAGATAAAATATATTTTTCTTTTAAAAATGTATATTATGCATATATTTTTATTATACATGTGCATATTAATACAGATGTGTATAAACTGTAAGTACAATTTGATACATAAATGATTTTGTTTAGAATAGATACAAAAATGTGATTCCTGGAGTTCAATGCAACATCTTAACACTGCTATAAATACGGATACATACACGCACACAAGATAAAACACAAAAATGTATATAAAAATAAAATTTCAAAAATGCCAAGTTAACCTACCTGGCTTTCTGTATACATTCATACCTAATTGCAGTAACAGACTTAAAAATGGAAGAAAGCGGGCAGAGGTTGAAAAAAAAACCCGAAATGGCTCCCAATGTTTGCCAACAGACTGAGATGCTGCCCAATATGACTGGTTATGGTGAGGGTAGAGCAATATAGTGCCTGCTTTATACAAGGTAGATGAATGTAGGCTAAATTAAATTATTACATTAAAATTTTTTTTCAAACAAGACACTCGCCCCTTCTACATACTGCCGTTCTTCCAATTATGTTTACTTTCATCTGTTCTTGTTTAATAGCTGAAGAGTCCAGTGAGATGTCACATCCCACTGGGCAATATTTCAATCCTCGAGAAGTATACAATCTAGAAGCACATTTCTCATGTGTTTACCTAAGATTCTAGTCACAGGAGACATCATAAATCCATTATACCCATCACTTGATACAGAAAACAATGGGATAAGGTAATTTAAAATCAAGGTTATTCATTTTAAAGAGACTAGACCTGGAACTGAAAAGTTATGGGTACTAAATCATCCTGTAAGAAATTAGGTTGTTGTCATATCACAAATAGGTGAGGGGAGAAGTAAAAGCCCAATTTTCTCTCTCTGATTCGGTTTACAGTTTACTTAATAGTGTCTTTCTATGGCTCCCTTTACAGTTTGATATTGTCAAATGGAAAAAAAAAAATCTCTCTGATTAAAAAAAGGAATGCAAGTAAAATAATGCAGTAGAATATTACATTTAATTAATAGCAGAAAATTGCCAGTGGCAGCAAAATAGGTACAAAAAGGCAAGAAAGTAAATTATATGGGAAATATTTGCCATGTACTTACTGCCTGGATTGTCTCCAATCCCATTGCTCTTGCCATTCCAGTACCACAGTAATAACGTAGCATCTCGTGACCCAGAAAGTACATAACAGTCCCCTCCGATGTACGACTCTGAACGGGCCAAGCATGTCACCACATCCCAGTGGCCGAACACTACCTGAGTCAGTTTCCCTGCATTGGTAA